CCTTTTGATTATGTGTTGCTTATGAGACCACGGTTGGTATTGTTATGAGTTTGTTACGTCGTTGAGTTGTGCATATGTTTGTAAGATGTGTTTCTGGGGCTCTCTGGCAGGTGGACAGGCCTAGTTACAAAGGGAACTCTGGCAAAATTTTTGGAAATTTAGGGAGTTAGTTAAATTTGGGGTTGCTGGTGTCGGATATGATAATTGAGTTGCACAACGTGCTAATAATGGACCATGATCCTCATTCGATGATGAATGATCTTAAGTGTGGGAGGATGTAAGGCCCCGTAAAATTTTTCCTAAAAACCTGATTTTCGTGATGCCAAAGTAGGCGTAGAGGTTATATTAGTAGAAATTCTTAGCGGCAAGCTTGCGAGCCACGGTTCGGACTTTTTGGATTGAACAGTGCGTTGGGGAGTTGAAGAAAAATGTTGGGCAGAAGTACACATTTTTGTGGCCCATTTTGCTGCCACAGAACCACTCTACGGACCGCAGACTGGTCGGAGAGTGGGGCAGATTTCTAGGGTATTTTTTATGCCCAATTTCGCAGCCATTATGCGACCGCATAACCGTTTTGCGGGCCACATTCTTGTCGCATATCCCGCCTAGGGATTTTTCGGAGGGAGGTTCTGCGGTGCACTATGCGACCACAGAACCATTCTGCGGTGCATTATGCGATCGCAGAACAGGTCTGCAGGCCTCATAGTGACCGCAGACTAGGTCAGCTTTTTTTCCAATTTTGGCATCCAGTTTTGTGGTCATTTCGCGGACCGCATAACAATTATGCGGTCGCATATGCGACCGCAGAACCCGTTCTGGAGCTTCATTTTTGGGGGTTTTAAACCCGACCCAATTCCGTTAAAACACACCCCATAGACCATTTTGATCATATTTTCCGATATTTTTAGAGTAAGAGAGAGGGTCCTAGAGGGAGAAGTGATCTTCATCACATTGCTCTTCAATTCTCACTTAAAATCTTGAAGATTATCAAGAGAGGCACCTAGGTCTTCTTCTTAAGAGGTAAGATTCTATCACCCAAACTCTTAATTTCAAAATGTAACTAAAATGGGCCATTAGTAAGGTAATTTATGGGGATGGGAGTGCTTACCCTGCATGCATGTATCCTTGTAGTATGTAGGAAGACTGTGAGCTAAAAATGATAGAGAATGGGTTGGGGAATGATGGAATCTTCCACAAAAAGGGCCTTAAAATATTGATGCATACCTAGTATTTGTTAATATGCTCAAATGAGCTAAAACCATGTTCATCTTCTTAATTTTGGTCCAAATTGTTATATTTCTAAATAGATTGAAGTTGCTAAGAATTACGGGTCATTTTAGAGTTTGAGAAGCTCAATTGAGGTATGTTGGCTAAACCCCATTCTTCTTAGAATCGAATCCCACGATGTTCATGTAATTGGAGTAACTCCTTGATCATTATTGAATTGGCCTTTCCTAATGTGGTTGTGTTGAAGGATGTTTGTTCAATGTTTATGCTAAATGCTTCATCATGCCATCTTGCCATTTGAGAATATGTTAAATGTGGAATATGTATTAGGAATGTTAAGACTTCATGTCAAGATTAAAATAAAGGTCGTTATGCCAAATTGTATGAAAGGTCTCTTTGTGCCTAAGATTTCCTAAATTGCTCATATGTAAATTAATGTCTTGAATGGGAAGCCCTATTGATGTTGATAAGGATAATAATATTTGAACGTGGAAAAGGGAACTGGAACTATGAAATACGGCCAAGGGCCAAAAATGACTTTGTAATTGTTAAGAAGTATGATGTGAGATGATTGACTGAATAAGGTAATGTCTCAAATGAGATGGCCTAGCCGATCAAGTCGAGATCGAACTCCGTGTAAGAACACGGTGGTATTGTGGATAAAACTGTGGTAATGTCTCAAATGAGATGGCCTAGCCGATCGGGCCGTTATCGGATGCCATGCCGCACACATGGTGGTACTATGCTGGAAATTATAATGAAATTGTGATAATGTCTCAAATGAGATGGCCTAGCCAATCGAGCCGAAGTCGGACTCCGTGTAAGAATACAGAGGTATTGTGAATTATGGAATATTGGTGCTAAAGATCACCCAACCTAATAATATGAAAATTGACTTGAAAACGTATATGATCCTTAACTTGTTGTTTTAATATTATTTGAAGCCTTATTGAATTCTTGACTGTTCCTCTTGTATTATTATTCATTCTATTGAGTTGGTGTTTAGATTTACATACTAGTGCAATTCGACGGTACTAACGTCCCTTTTGCCGGGGGCGCTGCATCTTTAAATGGATCCAGGTGATTACATAGCAGACAGTGTTGATCACAGATAGTGCTGCATCCTCTTCTCAGCGGATTCGGTGAGCCCCATTTCATTCTGGGGTCATGTATTATACCTTTCGTTTATATTGTGGTCACTTTTGAGGTATAGCCGAGGCCTTGTTGCCGACATCATCTTGACTCTCTTTTGTATCTTTAAAGGCTCCGTAGACGCTATGTGGGTTGTATATGGGTGTTGGGAATGCCAAACAAGTATATGTTGTGTTTGATCACTTGTTCCACTCAAACTATAAGAATCTATATATTTTGAGACTAAAAGGTTGAATAGCTAAAGAAACGATTTAATGTTGTATGTATGAACTTCCTTCCATCTAATTAATAAAATCATATCTTTTCTTGATCATGGGTGAGTTGGGTAGAAAGTATCTAACAGGCTTGCTTGGCCGGGTTCACTCGGCTGAGCGCTGGTCGCGCCTCCCGAGGTTGGGGCGTGACACCAATTGAATCAAAATATGAACTTCAAGTTCTTCAATTTACTCCCAACGCGACGAAACGTACTTAAACTACTCGGAATAATACCAAATTTTGCGTGCAAGTCTTAAATGACATTAAGAAACTATTCCCGGTCTCGAAATTCTATTTGGACCCGATAACACCAAAACCTACTTCAAACCAAATTTAAAGAACTTAAAAAACCTTCAAAGAACCAACTTTCACTGTTAGGCACTGAAATGTTCTCGGGTCATCCAAAATCCGATCCGAACATACTCCCAAATCCAAAATCATCATACAAACCTATTGGAACCGTCAAATCCCGATTCCGAGGTCGTCTACTCAAAACGTTGACCGAAGTCAAACTTAGCCTCTTTAGCCAACCTTAAGGAACCAAGCATTCCGATTTCAACCCGAACCCTTCCAAATCTCGAACTAGCCACCCCCGCAAGTCTCAAAACAGTACAAGCACATATGGAGAGTTTTATTTAGGGGAATGGGGTTCTAGAAAGCAAAATGACCGATCGGGTCTTTACATTAACTCTTCTGGAGGTGAATTGTAATAAATTTACATCAAGAGCACGTTTATATTTACGACTTTATTAATATTATCACATTCACTTGAGGGAATGGATTAATATTTATCAAAAATTCTCATCCTTCAGGAAATCGAATATAATTATCTGAACGTGCATTAACCATATCAAATTGTGATGGCTTCGAACCTCTTCTAATATACTTGCTACTTCAGGAGCAAATCGAGGTATGCATGTAATATAGAGAATTTTTTTTTCTTCTCTAAATTATCTTTATTGTAACCATAGCCAACCTAAATTATCACTTCTGGTGGTTATAGGCATATACCACTTCTGGTGGTTAACAAAATTTAGATACAATGAGACATACAAAACATAACCACTTCTGGTGGTTGTATATTTCTTGCAAACTCTGCTAGAGTTTAAGTGGATCTAACAATGTTATCCACTTTATAATCCCCTCTACGATATTACTCTTCGTGAGTAAAATTAGAACCTTAATTCAAAATCATGTTAGTGTAAAACAGAACATACAAGTATACAAATTACGGTACATTAAAATTTACAAGTTGTTCAAGATCACGTGTGATAATTACAGTACAAATGTCAAGATGGTTACCTAACGATCATCTTATGTGCACATATGTTATTATGCGGATTATAAACTTAGCTAGTAGGAAACATGAGTGAGTATAAAGAAATGATACTAACTGACAGTAGCCAATGTTTTTCTCGCCTTCTCTGTGGCTATGAGTTGCTTCATGCACAAGAAATTAAATTCAAATAAAATAGTCAAGATGCCAGAGTCTTGTGCTGATAACGTGTTATAAAATAAAGATTGTAAAGTAAAGACAAGTATAGAGAGAAACTGATATATTATTCAACTTCAAACTGATGTACATAATGAACTGAAAATCCCTCTATTTATAGAAGAAAGGTAGCAACTGCGAGGCTATTCTTGAGCTGCTTGTAAGCTATCTGCATGAGCTGCTTGCAACCTGTCTGTTTAATAAGAAGCTGCCGCAAATCATTTCATTGAGTTGCTTGCAACCTGCATACATCAGTTACTTGTAGATAAACTTCAATAGAGTATTAAATAGGTAATCTTCTTCAAAAAAATTATCTATAGCGAAATAATAAATGAACATCCACATTATAATTATTTTTATAACACTTTTCCTTTTAAAAAGAAAAAAAGGTTATTGCTTCCTTGCATACACATAATAATGTGTACCTTCTTTTCCAAATTAATTAGATGTAGCTGGGATCTTTGTTGCATTCAAGTTGGCTAACTTTGGATCTATAAACTTTTGTGTTCTCCGTGGAACATTGAATGCTCCTATACATAGATTTTTTCGATCAGAGGAATAAACATACAAACAAAATAATTTATATGTATACATTTAATTAAAAAAACTATCTATCTACAACACCTTGAACAAATTCGTCTCAAAAAAATTGCTCTTTCGGAGTCGGTTAAAACGCTTCCAACAATTTAATATACGGAAGTAGCCGGAAGAGATTAGGAAAATACCACATGTACTATTTAATTTCCATGAGTCACCGCTAGCGCAAAGTGGACTTGTTAGCTCTTGACGAGTGTCCTTATATTTCTGCATGCCTATCCGTTTGTATCCCATATATCGATGTCTCCGGCAAATATATAGTAGTCATAAGTCATAACTTAGTGCGCACTAAGTTGAACCAGACTCTTTCACAAACGCCCCCTCACTGCTATTTCTATAGCTTTTCATTTGTTTTTGCAATCTTGCATATCATGGCATTCAGGTCTTCGGTAAGTCCACTCTCGAGTTAAATTTGATTGTTCGTATTGTGTGTTACATAGACATGATCTCTTGTCAATCTTTATTGAACCCTTGCAGAGTTTGTTTAAATCTATGGCTACTCGTATTAGCGGAAATCCTACATTTGCAACATCTAAATTTACCAAACTGAGGTCATATGCCACTACTGCTGAGCATCCAGACGCTAAGCCAAGGTGAATATTTGTAAGTATAATTAGCACCTTTGTCGTTAGAAGTTAGTGTAATAATAACTTGATGTTTAATTAATTTGAAACAGGGGACTGAAAGGAGAGTTCTTTCCTGTGTATGTGGCGCTGGGACTAATAGCAATGTCTGTGGGTTTTGGGGTACACACAGCCACGCATCAGCTGAAGCGTTCGCCTAATGTATCTGTGAAGAAATCAAGGAGGGAAACTGTACCAGAGGTAGCAGAACCGGACAATGTGCTGAATGATTCCGACAGATTCATAAAAAAATCTTTTTTCAGAAAGGTGGCTCATGTTCAGGATTTTGATAATCAATCTGTCATGCCAGATCCTATGCGCGGGGATGTTCTACCTAGGTACTTCAATAGTTTATAGCAAATACTTTGCTATATTTTTCTATATTCTTGCAATTGGGTTACTGTTATTCCCGGTCAATATTGCTGTATTTGTAAATATTAATTCTGCAAAATATAAGTTAACGTAATGAAACAATAATAATAAATTCGAGCCCACTGAATTCACAGTGTTTCCTTAAGGAATTTAATCCCCTCCTAGTACCCAAGGTAATGGATTATTTCCTCCCAGGATAGAACGAATAACACACTGGTGTAGCGGTACTTCAAACCCCAGTGTTTCGGCGAACACAAAGTTCGGTAGCAAATCACACTTACAGTTGCTTTGTTTGAAGTTAAAAAACAATGCAGAACGAAGGAGTATATACTCAGAAAAACGTATGGAAGTTCTGAGAGGAAGGAGTGCAATGTATAGCCAATTTGTTGAGCGAATTGTATGTTGAGTTGAGTATCTTTCTTCAACATTTGCTGCTCATATATATAGCAGCCAAGAAGGAGTGCAAGACCAAACGTCCACCCTTCATGGTGGAGCAAGCATTACATGTTTGTGGAGCAAGCACTTCATGTTTGTGGAGCAAGCACTTCATGGTGGGAAGACCATTATCCGGCTGCCAAATTATCAATACACGGATTGGAAAATATCCGTTTACAAATACGGATAATCTTACGTTAATATTTACTATTAACAAATAAATTTGGTCCAAAAAATTAATCAATCGATCGATCATCCGAAGCCGAAGCCGAAGCCGAAGCCGAAGCCGTAGCCGTAGCCGTAGCCGTAGCCGTAGCCGTAGCCGAGCGAGCGAGCGAGCGACGACGACGGCGCGAGGCTTGCTTTCTTCTTAACTCTTTAAGAGCTACAAGAAGAGCAATTATATATATACCCACCAAAAATGTCTTCCACTTCGAATATGGGACAATGTCTCATTGTTAAGAGGGGGAAACTTAAAATTTTACTCAAAATTTCATTTTCCCTCCATTTTCCATTCATCCTCATTTTAAGAATATTACATCTTAAAAATAAAACCTCAACAGTTACATAGCGTGAAATGTGCTTTAATTTCCTGATTTTGTTGGTGCCATTGGTAGGGAACCTCACTCTGAGACGCTGAGATCTGTGGGAGTGAATCCGAAGCCAAAATTGCACTGAGCTATTTATGCATTTTGGATTCAAGTAGATGTTGCATCCGCCAGCCTGTGATGCGAGATTTTCATATCGAGACTCGAGAGTCGAAGATGGGGGCGACGTTTTTCCTCTCTTTTTGAAGAGAGAGTTGCATAAATAAAACTTTTGAGGGAAAAACAAATATATTCTACCTTTCAGGAATGTTGTACATATTTGCTTTAAATAAAAATGGATCTTTCTTTTTTAAACCATAGCATGAATGTTGCCTCTGCAGTGTCACAGTGTGCCTAACTCTTATTTCCTGCCTGTGTCATCCCTGGGTGGGAGGTCAATCAAATACATTTGTAGAATAAGGAATCAATTCCCGCTAGTCTCCGTGTTGTTTGATAATTGACACTCTTATAAGCTAAAGCATTGAAATTTAATGGGATACTTATCTGATTTAATTGTACTTCTCGCGGCTTTGTACGAAGTTCAGCGACTCAAACCAGACTTGAAAATTCAACTCCATGCTAATACGGTTCTTGGTTGCTTTGAGATTAGATCTTAAAGGAAGAAGCGTGCAGAGAAGAACATTTTAGAAAGGCATAATAGCTTGAATGTACTTGTGCCGCTTTGTCATGCCGATAAATTTATCATTTTGTCAATTGATACATTCGTTCAAAATTAATTTTTTAAATTTTTCTTACCATTGACCGAGCTTATATGGCATTGACATATGGCATTGACATAGATGAGGTGGATAAATTATGTGTAAGCAGCTTATATGGCATTGACATAGATTGGGGTATACAAATTATGTGTAAGCGTGGACAAATTATGTGTAAGCGTGTAAAGAGCTTATATGACATTGATATAGATTGGGGTGTACAAATTATGTGCAAGAGTGATACTAGTGATTTTGATTAAAAATAAATTAAACTAAAAAAAAATTTAAGAATGAATTAAACTATAAAAATAAATTAAACTAAAAAAAGATTAAGAATGAATTAAACTAGAAAAAAAGTAAAGTTAATAAGTTAATCGAAGTTACCATCCTCTGCCCCCCAATTTTCTTCTCTTGCTCAGTTTCTCCCATCTTTCTTTTCGTCCCCAATCCCTCTTTCTCCCTCCCTCTTTTCCTCTTCACACTATTGTATAGAATGGATGAGCCTTCAAAATTACAAAATATGGCAGAAATATACTATTTTTCTCTATTTTTTTAACAAAAGAATCTTTTACATTTTTATTTCTTTTTCTATTTAATCAAAACCCAACTGATTAAGGTTCCAACGAGTTTCGTTCTTCCTACGACGCTGCCCCAGTGTCCTAGCCGTGGTAGTAGCGTCACTGATTTCGACGACTCTTTAGGTTGACGAACGGATCTATTTTGGTTATTGTTGTTGTGTTTCGCTATTTGGATCTTTATTCGAATTTTGGAGAGGAGATTCAAAGGCTTGTTTGTTGAGAATTTTTGAAATTCCATTGCTGGTCTTGTGAATAACGAATCTAGTGGTTTGAAACCTCAAGTTGTTTCTTACCTAGTACTAAAACTCAGCTGGGTATTGAAATTTAGGCTTGAAAATGCGATAAAACATTTGTGTTTAAGGATCAAAACCGGAGGGACAAGCAGAGACGCCATTAAAGCTCGCTTGAAGCTTCTGGGTATATTCAGATTTAGAATTATTTTTTTGTGAAATCGGATGGGTATGGTTCCTAATAAACGAAAGAAGAAAGAACCTACTGCATCTATTTTATATGGGTTCGGTATTTGTGTAGGGTGGCTAGTCCTATTTTTCAATAGTTTATTTTTCTATGTGGCACTAATAATGATGTGGCGTCCTACGTGTAGGAGATTGTATTACACGCACTGGTAATTTCCTGTCATAAGCGCTTATTATACACGATTTGAACGAGCGTAAGTGTTCAATTAGCAAAATGATAAGTTTGAGATCAACATGATAAAGTGACACAGGTATAAGTGTCATTTAGACTATTCAAGAAATATTATTTTGATATTCCAACAGGTCGACCTGCATTAATTTTTTTTTTCCAGCAGGTCGCTGGTACAACAAGCGACTTACATTTATTTATTATTTTATTTTTTGAAATTTCAGCAGGTCACCTCTAAAACATTTTTCGACCACCATTAAAATAAAACAATGACAAAAAATTTGATCTTTTGGAAGCCTCTAGTTGCACAAAATCGCCACAAAACAAACTGCCACTAGAACCGCCACAATTAATTTGTCTTAATTAGCGGCGGTTACACCCCGTGATTGTCCAAAACCGCCGGAAAATGGTTGTATTTTAAACCGCAGCTAATTGCAGATTTCTTTTTGCGACACAGGCGGTAGTGTTTTTCTTATCATTCTTCCATCAACAAATAAAAAGGTTCTTTTTTTCTCCACCTCTTCTTATTTTCCATTTTCGGAATGTGATAATGGAGGGGAAAAGTTGGGTTTTTAACTTTTTCAGATTTTATTGAATCACAAGGTTGTAGATAATATCTTGCCTCAAAATTAGATAGACAGATAGATTCGTCTCATAGTTGGCAATCCCATAAAAGTTGGAGCTTCTTTTTCAGATTTTCAGCTGCATGAAACAAATACTTGATATAACGAACCTTTCACCTTTTCATGACACTCAAGAGGCCAATCCAATATCTTTAAAATAAGGAATTTATTCCCTAGCTAATCCCTACTTTTGACAACTGACACTTATACATAAGCTAGGGTACGGTATTCAAATTTAATTAATGGAATATATATATGTGTGAGTTTATTGAATTTGACTCTAACCCGGATCCTTCGATTATATACTTCTCGTAATTGGCTCTTCGCGTTATTGTACGAAGAACGAAGTTCTCCTTGTTTTGTAAAACAAGCAGCGATTGAAACCAGACTTGAAGAAATATAGTTATTGGTTGCATAGGGATAGATGACAGTTACGGGGATGGCTAAGGACTATATTGGACAAATTAAAGATATATTCTGCAATTTCTTGAAGAGTTCAGTTTACAAAGTTGATTTTGAGTGGGTGAAAATTTGGGGTTAATTTCGCTGATGGTCATTGAACTATTTTTCAATTTTACTAAAGTCATTCAACTATTTTTTGTCACTTAAAAGTAACTAAACTTTATCATTATAACTTAAAAATTATTTTGCCTCAAACCCCTACTATAAATATGACATGACATAAAATTTAATAAGAAAATTTTAAAAATAAATGCCACATAAGTTTAAATGGGTCATATCCACTTTAGATCCATGTTTCCGTTAATATGATTTGACTGAAAACCCAAATGGGTTTCAACAGGTAAAAAAAAAAGCACATAGAATAGCTCTGCAAGTGTCAACCTCATCCCTGTTTAGATAATGCACATTCATAATTATTCTACATTGGTTTAAAATAATTATCCTATATTATAAAGTTTTTGTCTTTTCTGTTACATAATGCACATTCATAATTATTCTATACTAAAATAATTAATGCTAGAAAATTCTTATTTTGTTTGTATGCCCTATCCGAATCATTTTATAACTCTAGTAAAACTAAAAAAGAAGTCTAGGGAATTTAAGAAAAATTAGGTCTTGTAATTATTTTTTGGGTTTTGATCATACAGATACAGTCTTAATGACACATTATGTTGTGTCCTTTTGTCTAAACAGTTGCTATAGGCCGTCTGTAATTGCATGTCTATTGACAAGTTTTATTATGCACTTTAATTGCATGTGTTGTTTACTAAGCAGGTTATTTTGCCTTTTTGGATACAACGGTATTTTAGCTTCAGTAGAATTATAAAATGACTCAGATAGGGCATACAAATAAAAAAAAAATTCTAGCATAGATTATTTTAGTATAGAATAATTATGAATGTGCATTATGTAACAAAAAAGGCAAAAACTTGGTAATATATGATAATCATTTTAAACTAATGTAGAATAATTATGAATGTGCATTATATAAAGAGGGATGTGATTGACACTGGCAAGAGCTATTCGATGTGCATTTTTTTACCTATTGAAACCCATTTGGGTTTTGGGTCAAATCATATTAAGGGAGACATGGATCTAAAGTGGGTATGACCCATTTAAGCTTATGTGGTATTTATTTTTGAATTTTTCTTATTAAATTTTATGCCATGTCATATTTATGGTAGGGGTTTGAGGCAAAATGATTTTTAAGTTACAGTGATAAAGTTTAGTTACTTTTAAGTGACAAAAAATAGTTTAATAACTTTAGTAAAATTGAAAGATAGTTCAATGACCATAAGTGAAATTAATCCTGATAATTTGTTGGCAGTTTACAAAGCACTTTTATCCAGGGCAGTCGAAGCTATCAAATTATCAAGTTGGGCAACTAGGCCAATGTAAAGTTCAAATATATACTGAATAAAGTTCAGGGGGTCTTGATTTATTTTGCGTAATTTCTTTCTTTAGTACGAAATGTTAACAATTTGGAACAATACTAGTAACCCCAAAAAAATATTTGTAAATCCTCTTTTTCTCTTTGTAATTTTTGCAAATCTTTTTTTTTCCTTCAAATTTACCCATAGAGTACTTGATTCGTTTACATTTGTCCTTCATTTACCTTTCCATCCATGAAAGTATATATCGCACTAATTTCGTTCTATATTTTCCCCCTCTCCTGATTGCGCATCCAGCTTAGCTTAGCTTAGACGTTTGCTACAATATAGTCGCATAGACCAAAAAAATCCAAATTTACTTCTAAACTCGAATATGACTAGGAGTATAAAATATCAGAAGTGGTCCAGAATCGAGAATATGATCAAAAATGGTGTAACAATAAATATGCGCTCTTAGATGGTGGCACATACGTATGCAAGAAACGTATAAATCAGTGGATTCCAGGCCCAATATAGATATTGACTTGTACACAAGGTAGTGGCCAACTTCTTTAATCTAGTCTAGCATATGTATAATTCACTTACGGAGAAGTAGTAGATAATTAAGACAGTACGATTTTGAGTGGAAAAGAAAATTTAAGAACATATTGTTTGACTCTTCAGTTGATGAATAAGCACCTTATGGATTTACTTCACGTTTTCCCCGTAATAAGTTGGGCATAGCATTAATTAAGCTTTATATAGAACTAACAAATATAATTGGGCCCAACGAGGATTGTGGTAGAGTGATAAATAAATACATATGTATACGGTCGAAATAGATTTCGGCCTTCGTACGATTGATCAAGGTCGAAACATAATGAATCGAAGAAAGACTTTGTAATATCGAGATGGGTTCCGAAGATGGTACTAACAAGCTTCGGATTCCAGGTATAGGTCAAACACCGAGTTCGAAGTCATCATCGAGCTCGGGTCCGGATCGAACTATGATGAGATGATTTCGAGCTTAAGGGACAGAGGCCAACCGGGACCGAGTCCGAATCTCTAGAAGCACTACCGACCGGCACCGAGGCCGATCGAGCTCGAGCCCACAAATAAGAGCCGTTGCAAACACACTAAGGGAGAGAAACCTCGGCGGGAATAAGGGAAAAGCTGATTTATCATGGAGTCTCCACTATGTATTTTTAATTATATCTAAAGTAGAATCTTCCACTATAAAGAGGATGGCTACATTTCTGTAGAGGACAGTTTTTTTTACTTACATTGTAATTCAAGCACCATATTTTCCTATATCCAAGGATTATTCTTCTAAGCTTCATCGGTTGATTCATTGTGCTTAA